ATTAAATATTGATTTAGTTTGTCATAAAAATGAATTATGATTTGACTGTTAGTCTTTTATTGTGAATTTGTATGCATGCATATGTACAAGGGCAACACCTGTTAAAAAGGAGATATATATACATGCCAGCCTTTTATGCTAACATTGGTTAAATTATTCACCTGATAACGTGATGCTAAGGTGGATGCTTTACTGTCTTTGACATTTTCGAAATTTACATTTTTTAACAGGTATAATAAATCACTCCTGATGATCATATGTACATGAAACCAAAGGTAAAAATACAGGTTTATCTATCATGAAATGGTCTCCACCTTTGAAATAACAAGTAACATATATACTTAATTCCAACAGATGGTTTTATCCTCTCTCCACGAACAGGGTGATCACCACACCGTGACATTAGAACAATACAATTAGGTAGACAGTCCGTTGAGCCTTCACCACTGACCTGACTGGGGACCCTACTAATATATAAATATTGTTTAGAGTATAAGTAGTGGACTCCGGTGTTGCCCGGGCAACTAGGGCAAGAGAGCTGCTTGGAAGATGTCATGTATCAACTTGTTCTTCGAAGATGATGCGGGTTTTTCGTTGGATTTGCAGCCATGCTGTGATGCATGTTTCCGATGTTGACAACTTTAAAAATACTAATAAACATATCGGCACCAGGTACCCTAGGTTGGAACTTCCAGATACGTAATGATTGTCGGCTGTCGGTTATACAGTTAAATCACAGACTTAGATAACAATCTAATTCCGTGGTTAAATTTAACATATTTTTCAATTGAACCACACATCATTTAATCACTTAAATAAATAAAAATATAAAAGTATATTTGAATTTTTGATGTGCATGCAACTGCTTATTTGCTTACGTGGCAGCTACGCGCCTGACACTTCTTACGCAACTCCGACAGGTTCACAAGGTTTCTACGACAAACAATAGTGGAATGAGACAGGGTTAAGCAGTGGAACCATATTTTGTTTCAACTTCATGTCAGACACTCCAATTTGGGTTTATTCTACTGAAATCAACGAGATAATTATCAAAATATATCTCTTTCTGGTGTAAACAAACATTAAATAGTTTTTCTGATAATCATCAACTTTAAGATTTTTGGTCTCTAAATTTGGATCACACATTAGCGACCTGGCAAGGTCAGGAAGTGGGACTATAGCTTTTCTCATTTATTTTTTGGTTAGTTTTCACAATTCCACACAATTCCAGTAATGTAAAGTAATATGTCGTAAAACTTTGTCGAGATGGGTCGTTGAGTGATGTCGCGACATCAGATCTGGTGTGTCGTGACAAGTGTCCTCTGCTTTTTGCGCCTTATTTTCTAAATAAATATTAAAAATATCGACCGACAAGCTGTCTCGGTCATGTCGCAACATGAAAAATAGTCGGAAATGTTGACCGACAAGAAATATATCTTTTTCTGGTGTAAACAAACAATCGATAACTTTTTGGCTGATCCTCAAGTTTTGGATTTTGAGTCCTTATATTCTGATTATTGCATATTTTCGACCTGGGATGTTTGGATCAAGTGACTGAATTATCGTCCTTTCAGAGCAAGCGCAGATGAGATTTAATTACGTACAAAAATTAGCAGTCAATAGAGGATTATTTTACAGTAAACCGCATCCAAATCTGTTAATTAGTTCTCTTTTTATTAACTTATTTCAGTTATTCAGTTTACCCTTCTTCTTCTTCCATTTACTGCGGCAGATCTAATAGATATGAGTGCAGTTGCCGCAATTTTAGGTGTCCTTGGAGGTGGCATTAATGTTTTTGGTTATTTCATGATAAGATAAAACGATATACATGCATGATAATTATAAGATTTTTTTTTAGGATGATAGGCAGACGGAGCTGATTTGAAATGGTTCAAGTCAGGTGACTGGGCTATATCTTCGGGCAGAGAATACCATGTACTGATAGTTCTGGGAAAAAATGAATTTCGATATTTGTCCGAATTAGTAGAAATTTGTTGGAGTTTGTGGGCTCCCCTAGTTCGGCGGTCTGACACTTTAACATGATCATTAGGGGAGATGGCTACTTTATCATTTAAGATTTTGTACATCATTGTAACCCTTGCTTTTGCTCGTCTCTGTGCAAGTGGTTCCCAGTTGAGTGATTGTACCATGCTGGTGACACTTCCAGGTTCACGGGTCCTGTAGTTGTTATAGACATATAAAGCAGACCTACGTTGGGCGGTTTCCAACAGTACAATGTTTTCTGTGTTGTATGGGTCCCAACATGTAGCGGCATACTCGATAGTCGGTCTCACTAGAGTGGTATACGTTTGTCATTTGACTTCCCTGGAGCATGATGACATATTGCGTCTCAGGAAGCCCAGTGGAGTGGATGTGTTTACCCCAACTGAAGTCATCCGTTAGAGTAACCCCCAAGTACTTGCTAGCTGGTAGGTTATCCAGCAGCGTGTTATGAAGCTGGTAACCGAACTTAACTGGGTCTTTATTTTTGGTTACATTGATTATACAGCATTTGCTGACATTGAAGTTCATTTGCCAGTCAGTCTCCCATTGTTCTATCCTAGCAAGGTCTGCCTGGAGTTGTTTGCAGTCGTCCTCAGACATTATCTCCTTATAGAGTAGACAATCGTCTGCAAACAGTTTGACCTTGCAGGAGACTGACTGTACCAAGTCGTTTATGTAAACGAGGAATAACAGTGGCCCAATGACCGTCCCCTTGGGTACCCCAGAAAGGACAGGGGCCTTGTCAGATTTGGTCCTATTTAATAAAACAAGTTGGTCTCTGTTGTTTAGGAATAATCTAATCCAGGAATTTGTACTGTTTCGAATGCCAAAGAAGTGTAGTTTAGAAAGAAGACGTTCATGAGGGACCTTATCGAAAGCTTTAGAAAAGTCTAATAGGGCAATGTCTGTTTGTGATTTGTTGTTTATGTTCCTAAGTATGTCATCTACCGTTAGAATTAGTTGCGTTTCCGTAGAGTGTTTGGATCAAAAGCCGTGTTGAAATTTGGTGAGTATATTGTTGAGGTCTAAGTGATCCATGACATTGCTATGAATGATGTGTTCTAGTAATTTTGCGGTACTGATACAGAGTCTAATGATATTTGGAAGAGTTTTGTCAGTGCTGGTGTAACTTCTGCAGCAAGCTCTTTTAGTATTCTGGATGGAATGCTATCAGGACCAGATGCCTTGTGTATTTCTAGTCGCTTCAGGAGCTTAATGACACCTGGTTCACTAATTTTGATATCTGGCATAGATTTATATTTGCTTTCTGGAAGTTTTGGGATGTTGGATTTTTCTTCCAGAGTATAGACCGAATGAAATTGATTGTTCAGAATTTGGGCTTTTTTGTAGGTTCAGAATGGGTGACGCCGTCAGAAGGATCTCTAATAGGAGGAATGTTGGAAGAGTCTACTTTTTTTTACTTTTGACGTAGCTCCTGAACTTTTTAGAGTTTTCTTTAGCTTCCGGGCTAATCACAGTATACAAATATGAGCTATGAGCTTTCCTAGTTTCCTTTTGCATCTTGCTTTTGATGTTTCTGTATCGGTCCCAGTCTTCAGGTGACTTGCTTTTGATAGCTTTATTATACGCTCTGCGCTTTTGTCTTGATAACCTGTTTATGTGGTTATTGGCCAAGGGGTTGGTGAATTTAGACCTAGAAAGCTTTTGTGGGACATGTTTATCAATAGCAGTTGTTATGGTTTCTTTGAACACTGACCAAGCCTGTTCAACATTAAGTTCGGTTGTTAGAATTTGGTCGAGTTTGGCTTTAACATCAATTTTCATCTGTGCAAAGTCTGATTTCTTCCACAGGAATATAATTCTTCTGGGTTATTTGTTTGGTGGACTGGAAATTTGTTGTCTATAAGGACTATTTCATGGTCTGAAACTCCGGGTATTGGTTTGCATTTGTTGACCAAAGATGGCATATTTGTCAGGAACAAGTCTAGGGTATTTGTGATTCTCGTTGGAAAGGTTACAATGTGTTTGAGTGAAAGGTCATTGAAGCGTGAAATGAAATGTTCATTAAGTGCCTTAGGATAATTAATGCTTTTAATTACTGCATCTGGCCATGAAATATCACTTAGGTTGAAATCACCTCCAAGCCAAATAGTGTGGTTGGTAAATTTCTTAAAAAGATGGGTGATTTCATCTACTGTGTTTTGGATGTATTCCGGGCTGGTCATATTTGGGGGCCTGTAGTAGGCTGCTATTTTGATAGGCTTTTGTTTGCTCAGGTGGATTTTGGCCGCCACAAGTTCAATTTTGTCACCTGTATATGCAAGCGTGGCATTTAGACTTGTGCGGGTGGCTACCATGACACCGCCGCTGCGTGACGTCGTCCGATCATTCCTGAATAATTCAAATTAAGGGGGAAACACCTCCAGATCACCAATGTCTGGTTTTAGCCAGGTTTCAGTGCCAATAAATATGTCTGGCTTTGCAGACTCGATAAGTAGTTGAGTGTCATTTCTCTTAGCTTTAAGGCTTTGGAAGTTCACGACAAGTGTTCTTAACGAGTGGACTGCTTTGATGACAGGTTTAGGCACAGCATTATTTTTTATGGTGATCGGTGATGATGTGGCTCTAGGCTTCAAAGAAAATGGGCTATTTCTATCAGGGGTCGAGTGTGTTATCGAGTGTTGATAGTTGCTTTGAGAGGATGACCTAATATGTGAGTTAGAGTTTTCAGCAAAACTAATTGACTAATTGTATCAATTGATTGAGTTAACCGCCCCTTTCGGCGCATGCGCATATGAGATTTAATAGCGCACAAAAACAAGCAGTCAATAAAGGATTATTTTACAGCAAACCGCATTCAAATCAGTTCATTAGCTCTCTTTTTATTAATTTATTTCAGCCCCTTTCGACTGACAGAGTTATCTCATAGCAATCGGGAACCGTCGGCTTTTTCTGTAAACGTTTACGGAAAGTGCCGACGGTTCCCGATTGATCTCATAGTTATCCGGAAATTGAGAGTTATCTCCCCTTTCAGATTGAATTGAAAGTTCACGTGCGATTAGATTACGAATACGGAAAAAAAATTGATTAAAAGATGGTAAGTACTGCACCGATTGTTTTGAAATTTGGCAGACTTGTATATTAATGATCGAAAAGTTGAATCATGCATCAAATATCCAAACTCCTAATTACTGTTTTGAATTATTAAGGATTTATTGATGCCATGTGCTGATCACTTGCTCTATCGGATCAGTAAATACCGGCAATTTCCTGTGGTCTGTAAGATAATAAGTTATGCACCAATCGTTCTGAAATTTGGCAGAATTGTTCATAAATGATTAAAGAATTGAACCATGCAGCAGATATCCAGATTCCTAATGAAAATTTTGAATATTTAACAATTTATTGTCGCCATGTACTGACCATGTGGGGTAGCAACTTCGGTGGGGTACGAGTAGAAAGGTAAATCGGTCTAATCTGCTCAAGCGACCATCTGTAAATTGATGGTCGTAACTGTAAACAGACCACCACTAACACTAATTTTTAGTCAATTTTTTCTTACGATCATCTTTTTTATGCGACCAATTTTCATTCCTCCCGACCGTTTTTACTATGTAATTTAACTGCATTAAGCGACCACCTGTCTAACGCGACCACCCAATACTGACCACAAAAGTACATTAAACGACCACATTTGATGCATTTTAGCGACCATGTTTGACGAAAAAATATACAAAACGGTCATTGAAATATTTGTGTATCTCCAAATTTGCGAACGTCACCACAATTGACGAAGGGCTAATCACAGGAACTTGAATTTCTATCAGAATGGTCTATTTAAGCTCAGAGAACTGATTAAGCCCAATATATACCCCCCCTTACCGTAGGCTAATTACCGATCTTTTTACCAAGTTAAATGAACAAATTTGAAAAAAATATATTTCCAAACTTATAATAAATGCATTGATGTGCAGAAACAAATAAAACATATTTTTTCTAACTGCTGATACATGTATTGATGATTTTTCGCAGCTGAGCAAAACCATTTTGATTATGCGAGTGTCCTGCTAGGCAATGTAACCTTAAACCCTACGATATCCTCCATCTGATTGGATGAAGTACACTGGCAGGTTTTCAGTCTTGAAATCGGGTCTGTTGAGAGATGTTCACGACAGCACTCTCGTGCGAAATTATCATTAAATATCAGGGCCACTGCGCAGTAAATATGTTTATGTTAACATACATATCGTTTCTAATTCCTTATCAATAATAAACACCTTTAATAACATCCCTGAATTTCTCAACGCCAAAGTACGAACGACAACAATACCGGTCCGTTTTACGGCAACATGCTGTCTGCTTTATTTAGGTCTTTTTTTTAACTGGATTCTCTTTTCAGTTTCCATCGTAAAATAAAGGAATAATACACGCGAACCCAGCTGTTGGACCAACACAGGAACAGCTGTCATTTCAACAACAACATATTTCGTAACAAGTTAGTTTGAATCAAGGTAATTACCGAAAACACAGTCGTGTAAGTTGAGAACTTCAACAAGTCTCTGTTGATCGTTTGTTCTGAGTGAAATGACAATTCTTTTAAAACACACTTAGTTGTTTGTTTACTGTCATAATTATCACTCGACTATTGTTTAGTTATTCACATGATCTGTTGAACGATGTTGTTTTAAACTACCTGTACGTGCGCTTGGGGTGGTGGTCTGTTTACAGTTGTCTGAATAAGGAGTCGTTTGGTTATAGTCGGTTACAGTGTGTACAAAATATGGTCATACTTTATTAAACGACCACTTTTATTAAACGACCCGTTTTGATACGACCGTCAAATTTGATGGTAGTATTATGGTATGGCGTTGTCCGTCACTCCGGCGTAAACTTTGTTTGTCCGGCAATCTCCTCCTACATTTTTCGACCAATCTATTTGAAACTTGGTATACATTATAATCATGATATGAAGTTGTGTCTCCCTTAAAAGAATTTTGATTCGACAATTTTTCCAAAAGTAATTGCCCTTTGTTCATTTCAGTATTTGAATTTTGTCCGGAGATCTTCTCCTACATTTTTTCAACGGATCTTTTTGAAACTTGGTATACTTTATAAACATGATATGAAGTTGTGTCTCCCTTAAAAGAATTTTGATTCAACGATTTTTGCAAAATTTATTGCCTTTTGTTCATTTCAGTATTTGATTTTCTCCTACATTTTTTATAGCATATCAGCTAACCACTCTTAGAATGATGCAGATCTTATTTCAATGTAAGAAAGCTTAAGTATATAACACTATATGGCATTCGATGGGTGTATTTTGGTCTGCCCCGTGGTACTCTTGTTTAATTTCCCTTGTGTGGTCGCTTAATACATCCACTGTACAGGCAATCCAATTATACTGTATGTATGCTATGATTGATTGCCAATATGATCTTCACATGCTATTATTAACAGAGATATGTGAACAGAATTACAGGTATAAAGTCTGGTAATAGCTAGAATAACAATATCCTCCCCTCTCACCATCCCCCCCCCCCCATCACCCTTTTAACAACTGACCCCAAACCTGCACAATGACACTGTATATATGTAACAAGTAGTTATGTAATGGTTATGAAGCGCCATGTCGCTACCGGTATCTCAGTGCTGGTTATGAAATGACATGTCGCTACCAGTATCTCAGTGCTGGTTATGAAGCGACATGTCGCTACCGGTATCTCAGTGCCGGTTATGAAGCGACATGTGGCTACCGGTATCTCAGTGCTGGTTATGAAGCGCCATGTCGCTACAGCTATATCAGTGTCGGTTATGAAGCGACATGTCGCTACCGGTATCTCAGTGCTGGTTATGAAGCGCCATGTCGCTACCGCTATATCAGTGTCGGTTATGAAGCGCCATGTCGCTACCGCTATATCAGTGTCGGTTATGAAGCGCCATGTCGCTACCGCTATATCAGTGCTGAATGATAAGGTTAACCCTGATACCTTTTAGCATCATGAGGAATACCTTGAGAACATAAAATATGCATCGTTTGCTAATTATTAGCTTTTTCATTTGAATGCAGGAAGGATTAACAGGTTCCTATATAGCAGTAGAGAATAGAAGACAAAAAAAGAGAAGGATGAAGGTGAGTTTTTACATGAAACAAACACAAAATGTTTGCCTGTGACATAGTTGATTTTGCATTGGATTTCACAGGATCAAGTAATGTTTTATGTGTTTTCATGAAATATATATACAAAATTGCAGAAGGAGTACGAACAAAGTAGGAGGATATTGGAGGAGGTGAGGAAGAGGAACGACGATGAGAGGGAGGCAGAGGGAAGGAAAAGTAAGGATGACGAGGAAAGGAGAAGGGTGGGAAAGGCAAAAGAGGAAAAGAGGAAAGCAGAAAAGGAACGTAGGGCGAAAGATGAGGAGGAGACAAGGGAGGAGAGAGCGATAAAGAGAGAGAAGGAAGAGAGGAGGGGAGCAAAGGAGATGATGAAATTGATGACGGAGGAGGTAAGCATTGTCCCTCATAGGATCTTTACCATATAACTCAAAAAGAAGGTTCACCAAAATCCAATAATAAAATTACTATTTTGTATATCACTTCAGATTTTGAAGGAGTTGATGGAGCAGGACGCAAATGATGTGTTGGAAGAGGTAAAAGGCGTAAGTAAAACTTTCGTATGTTTTTTAATCAGAAAGGTGTGGCACCAGACTAAACCAGATGCAGAATGTTTGACATACATGATACAGGAAGGTAGAGATGGAGTAGGATAGGGATCTGGTGGCATCCACCTGGTCTTCATTCTAGGTTCACCTAGAAAATGTGCGGCCCTTAAATTTTGATCCCCAATTTATTACTTAAGTTGCATTGCCTTGATGTTTATAGATTGTTTTGGCAAGTAAGGTTGCATGAAAATTCTTTTCTTTCGACAGAAGTTGAGCAGGAGACAGAGAAGAAGAGAAAAGAGGAGAGAAGTGGAAAGTGCGAGAAAAGAGAAGGAAGAGGAAAAGAAGAAGGTAGAGATGGTAAGGGATAAGAAAATGAAGAAGGAAAAGAGGAGGAGGACGAGGAGACTGGAGGAGGAGCAGGAAAGGAAGAGAGCACAAAAAAAAGAAAGGAGGGAGAGAAAGAAGGCGAGTATTGATAACATTAAGTAAGTTTCCACAGATCAAACACAAAGAAAAATTCTATATCAGGTATTGAGGAAATGATTCATTAAGAATATTTGGTTTTACTCAGGTAAGACTAGAGGCGCATTGGACATGACAGCAACGATGAATAATGAGGAAAGGGAAGTCAGTATTGAATAGGATATTAATGTTGTCACATCGTTTAGAGTAAAATGTCAAGGAACCTTTCACTTGTTATACAGAACTCTCAGGGCGCTAATCTGTGATCCTAATTTTACGACCAAATCCAATGAACTTTTTTCCTATGGTATTCTGTATAGAATGTCAGAGGTATCTATTCAAATGACCTTGTATCTTGAAAAGCGGACTCCAGCGAACGTAAACACCTGATTTTTAACCACCTGCTTTGAGGATCATGTTCTTAAACTTTGATTGTAATAACTGCATACTTTGGTCGCCAAATCTGGATCAAAACTTAACTAACTGACAATGTATGATGTTTTATGAAGAACTTAAAAGAATACTAAATACCTATACTAGACAAGATACAAACATTAACTTGATAGATGGAGGAGGGAACAGAAGAAGTGGAAAATATGGAGGGGGAGGAGTACGAGGGCCAGGAGGTGGAGGAGACTAGACATGAAAAGAAGGTGAGGAAGGAGAAGAGGAGAATGGAGGAGAAGATGAGGATGGAGGAGAAGATTAGGATGGAGAAGAGGGGAAGGGAGGCAAGTATTGAGATATTATGTGAACACAGATTATACTAAAGATTGATGGGAACTAGACGAAAATGGCCATGTTTAACTATTTTACTTTATTATGTTATATTGAACTCTCAGGGCGCCAATCTGTGATCCTAATTTTACGACCAAAACTGATGAACTTTTTACCTATGGTATTCTGTATAGGATGGCACAGGTATCTATTCAAATGACCTTGTATCTTGAAAAGCGGACTCCAGCGAACGTAAACACCTGATGTTTAACCACCTGCTTTGCATGTTTTGGTAGCCAAATCTGGATCTAAACTTAGCAACCTGACAATGTATGATGTTTTATCAAGAACTTAAAAGAAGAATACTAAATACTTATACTTATTTCATTTCAGTAATAATTACCATAACTTTAGTATGCATATACAATACCTACACCCATCTTTGTAGCCCAAAAACAAAAGATATCAAATATCCCTACCTCCCTACCGTGACGTAACCTATATCTTGGTGACAGAGCCACGGAGTGATCTCCCTTCCTCTTCCTTTTATGGCGCCTGCTGCCTGCTGACGCCCGGAGCTTGCTCCATTTCAAAACTTTATTTTGTCGGTTTGGTTTGAGTGTCAACTCAATTTTTTGCGCAGTTTGTGTGCCTTATACCCATCTGCCCTTGTTAATATAATTAATTATTGTTGAAAATTATTTTTGTGCCTATTATTTTACTCCACGTGTGCTGGTGGTGTGCCACGGTCCGCCATTATCGTGGGTTAATTTCCGACCGTTATTTCGGTGACAGTTGTTTGTTTCGGCAAACGTTATTTATTTTAACCGTTGTCTGATTTATATTACGGGTGAAATTCTTTCTACGTTGCGTACTTTGTACTATCGTATTTTATCATTTTTTCCCGTGTTATCTGCTTGTAAATTTTTGTTTACGTTCGCTTTGGAGGGTATGTCTCGGTCGGGACAGCGGCGAGGGAGAGCTCATGGGTGTTCCCATTTCTTTGTGGAACGGGACCCTCATGATGCTTCTCCCAGGTGTCGTCCTTGCAGTGAGGTTTCGCCTTGTGAACTTTGTTCACAGACTAAATCTCAGGACAACGACTTCATTGTTCCAAAGCTACTCTCAACTTACCGTAAGATTCGTCTGTTTCTCCCGGTAAGCGAGGGAAGCAGAGAGGTAGGGGTCGCGCCACCAGCTCTCTGGGGTCTGGTGGTACTGTCTCTGTTCCTGTCTCGGGGGGTCTTGCTTCGGAGAGTCCTCTCGTGAGCAGGGGATGGTCCTGTCCAGGAACTCCCTGGAGTAGGGGAGGGGCAACCCGACCCTGGCTTGGCCGGGAACACCCGTAAGCTTTCGCGCTTGCTTCGGGTAGGGACTACCGGCCGCCGGTCACTGACTCTGTCAACGATCACGGCATTCCAGGTGGTGCTGCCAGGCCTGTTCTTTCGGGTTCAGGTCCTGGTGTGACAACAGACTTTCTTTCGGGATTGTCTGTTTCTACGGGGATTAGTTACGCGCAGTTCACTAATCCCGGCATCAATGCTGGTCAGGCGTACCCTCCCGGTCAGTTACCCAGACCCGGTCCTATTAGGTCTGGTCCCGAGTTTCATTCTTCTGGGAACCTGGGGGGTTTCCCCCAAGGTTCACGGTTTGCTGGACAGGGGGCCGGTTTCAGGCCTCCGTTTTCCCCTGGCTTAGGGTATACGGGTGCCTGCGGGCAACCATCCTTGGGCCGCCCTTACCAGCCTGCGGATGNAGGCAGGTTGGTCTCTGGGTCCAAGGGTAGGATTTTGGCAACTAAGCCTTAACCTACAGCCACAGCCGTTAGGCGCACTGCACCTAAACGCCGGTACGGGGAGCCTTCTTTCGGGTTGGCCCCTCTGGCTGGCCCATTTCCTCCGCCTGAGGCTTTTGGTCTGGATGGTGTGGAGGCTATGGACGTTGAGGGTTGTTTAGGGACCGCAATCTTGCCCCTGGTACTATCGCTGGTTTTCGCACGGCCATTGCTAATGTTCTCTCTGTTCATGGTAGGTCGGAGGTAGGCTCGTCCTCCTCTCTTTCTGCCTTGATTAGGGGGTTTGGGTTGGACAGGCCTAGGGAATGTGCCAGTGGAATGTGCCACTGGTGCTCGAATCGCTGATGCGGGCACCTTATGAGCCTTTAGTGTCTGCCTCCTTGAAGTTTGTTACCTACAAGGTGGTATTCCTTATTGCCCTGGCCTCAGGTCGAAGGAGGAGTGAGATTCATGCCTTGTCTTCTCACCCCTCTTGCCTCCAATGGTCCAGGAATTACTCTGCCGTTACCCTTCTCACTGATCCTGCCTTTATGGCTAAGAATCAGGTTCCTGGCTTCTCGCCCGATCCGATTAAGATTCCGTCTTTGACTGCCTTCGTTGGAGCTGAGGAACGGGATAGGTTGCTCTGTCCCTGTCGGGCGCTTAGGTTTTACCTCGATAAAACCAGGGGGGGGCGAGGTCCTCGATCTCGTCTGTTTTTGCCCATTAAGCAGGGTCAACAGGATATCTCTTCTCAGTCAGTGTCTAGATGGATCTGTCAGGTCATCAAGTACGGTTACGACCACTCGGATGATCAGGTTCGGGCGTTGTATAAGGTGAGAGCTCATGAGATCAGGGCCCTTGCTGCGTCATGGGCCCTCCTCAATGGGTCCCCCTTTCAGGAGGTCATGTCCGCAGCTTTCTGGCGCGGACAGACTACCTTCACGGATTTTTATCTCCGGTCCTTGGCCTCTCATTCTGATGGATTGTATTCCCTTGGACCGGTGGTGGTTGCACAGTCTGTGGCTGTTCCTCCACAGTAATTCAGTGATTTTAAATAGTATGCTATCAGGCACCACGGTGGTACACCTGCTCGTTTCACGGGGAGGTTTTCCATTTTTTAATTACTTTCGGGGCTTTATTAGGGGGGTTCCTTGAACCTTTTCCCTACCTTGAGCATGTCTCGAGTTTGTTCCGTCAGCCTGGTCTGCCTGGATTCGAAGCCTCCACTACGGTAAGACGAATTCGCATACTAAAGTTATGGTAATTATTACTGAAATGAAATTGAGGTTTTTGAAGTAAAACCAATTTTCATGATGTAATACTTACCATAACTTTATGGAGTCCCACCCTGTATTCCTCCCCTTGCCTCCTCATCCTGGCTGCCTTTAGGCTCCATAAAAGGGGGTTTGAGGAAGGGAGATCACTCCGTGCCTCTGCCATCGAGATATAGGTTACGTCACGGTAGGGAGGTAGGGATATTTGAATCTTTTGTTTTTGGGCTACAAAGATGGGTGTAGGTATGGTATATGCATACTAAAGTTATGGTAAGTATTACATCATGAAAATTGGTTTTACTTCAAAAACCTCAATACTAGACAAGATACAAACATTAACTTGATAGATGGAGGAGGGAACAGAAGAAGTGGAAAAGATGGAGGGGGAGGAGGACGAGGGCCTGAAGGTGGAGGAGACTAGACATGAAAAGAAGATGAGGAAGGAGAAGAGGAGAATGGAGAAGATGAGGATGGAGAAGAAGGGAAGGGAGGCAAGTATTGAGATGTTATGTGAACACAGATTATACTAAAGATTGATGGGAACTAGAAGAAAATGGCCATGTTTAACTATTTTACTTTAGTATGTTATATTGAACTTTCAGGGCGCTAATCTGTGATCCTAATTTTACGACCAAATCCGATGAACTTTTTACCTATGGTATTCTGTATAGGATGTCAGAGGTATCTATTCAAATGACCTTGTATCTTGAAAAGCGGACTCCAGCGAACGTAAACACCTGATGTTTAATCACCTGCTTTGGGGATCATGTTCTTAAACTTTGATTGTAATAACTGCATGTTTTGGTCGCAAATTCTGGATCTAAACTTAGCGACCTGACAATGTATGATGTTTTATGAAGAACTTAAAAGAAGAATGCTAAATACTTATACTAGACAAGATACAAACATTAACTTGATAGATGGAGGAGAGAACGAAAGAAGTGGAAAAGATGGAGGGGGAGAAGGATGAGGGCCAGGAGGTGGAGGAGACTAGACATGAAAAGAAGGTGAGGAAGGAGAAGAGGAGAATGGAGGCAAGTATTGAGACGTTATGCGAACACAGATTATACTAAAGATTGATGGGAACTAGGCAAAAATGGCCATGTTTAACTAATTTACTTTATTATTAGCTCACCAGGTCCAAAGGACAAAGGTGAGCTTATGCCATACCGTGGCTTGCGTCGTCCGTCCGTCAACAATTTCTTTAAACAACTTCTTCTTCTTAACCATTAATTGGAATTTAACTTAAATTGACTGGAAGCATTCCTAGGTGTTGGGGATTCAAAATTGTACAAATGGTGGGGCTGACCCCCCAAGGGGGCTGAGGGGCGGTGCCAAAAGGGGGCAGTTTGGCTATATTGCTTCAAGCGACTTCTTTGGAACTAAGAGATGGATATTTTAAAGTAAAATAGTTAAACATGACCTTGATATCAACCATATTTGACTGGAAGCATCCCTAGGTGGTGGAGATTCAAAATTGTACAAACTTTGGGGCTGACCCCCCGGGCTAAGGGGTGGGGCCAAAATAAGTTTATCACTTTGAAATGGTTGAGATCCCCACGGTATAACCATATATACAAATGCTGAGTATGAAGAGAAGAATTCACAGTTGCTTCCAGGATGGCCCTAGGGTCTGGCCCCACCCTTGGAGACATATTCCCTTGGGTCATAACTTTGAAACAGTTGAGTTCCCCTCCCCAAACCTATATATACAAATGCTGGGTATAAAGAGACGAATGCAGGTATGATAATAGAATAGACCCTTGGGTCTGACTGAACCCCTAGGGACCTAGTTTCTTAGTCACAGCTTGGAAACAGTTGATATCCCCACCCTATAACCATATATACAATTGCTAAGTATACAGAAATGAATGCACATATGCTTCCAGGATGGCGTTGGGGTCTGCCCCACCTTTGCAGACTTAACCCCTGGGTCATAACTTAGAAACGGTTGAGATCCCCAACCCAAAACTAAAAATACAAATGCTGGGCAAAAAGAGACAAATGCAGTCATGATATTAGAATTGATCCTGGATTGGCCTTGGGGTCTGGCATATTCTCTTGGATCTCATTTGGAGAATATTTTGCCATGATTGCTAAGATATCCAGGTGAGTGATACAGGCCCTCTGGGCCTCCTGTGTTATATTGAACTCTCAGGGCGCTAATCTGTGATCCTAATTTTACGACCAAATCCGATGAACTTTTTACCTATGGTATTCTGTATAGGATGTCAGAGGTATCTATTCAAATGACCTTGTATCTTGAAAAGTGGACTCCAGCGAACGTAAACACCTGATATTTAATCACCTGCTTTGAGGATCATGTTCTTAAACTTTGATTGTAATAACTGCATGTTTTGGTCGCAAATTCTGGATCTAAACTTAGCGACCTGACAATGTATGATGTTTTATGAAGAACTTAAAAGAAGAATGCTAAATACTTATACTAGACAAGATACAAACATTAACTTGATAGATGGAGGAGAGAACGGAAGAAGTGGAAAAGATGGAGGGGGAAAAGGATGAGGGCCAGGAGGTGGAGAAGACGGGACATGTAAAGAAGGTGAGGAAGGAGAAGAGGAGAATGGAGGAGAAGATGAGGATGGAGAAGAGGGGAAGGGAGGCAAGTATTGAGACGTTATGCGAACACAGATTATACTAAAAATTGATGGGAACTAGGCGAAAATGGCCATGTTTAACTAATTTACTTTATCATTAGCTCACCGGGTCTAAAGGACAAAGGTGAGCTTATGCCATACCGTGGCTTCTGTCGTCCGTCCGTCCGTCCGTCGTCCGTCCGTCCGTCCGTCCGTCCTCTTGTGTTATATTGAACTCTCTGGGCACTAATCTGTGATCCTAATTTTACGACCAAAACCGATGAACTTTTTACCTATCAGGGGTCGACACTTACGGTAGACCGGAGGACCGGGTCCACCAAAATCTTTGACGGTCCACTTAATCTCCAAAGCTGGTAGACTGCTGGTCCACCACATATTATTTAATTAGTGTATATATATTTGAGAATATTGTTCAGAAATATACTAATAAAGACTTTATTTCCTTCGCCAGCGAGCCGTAAAATCCCATCTGGTTAACAAATGTATCGTATTTTCGTGTTGTTAACCCGCTAAAAGTTGTCGTTATCATTCTTGGACGAGTGAAGTGCGTGAATCTGCTTGCGGTAAGTCGGAATCTTTTCAGCGTTTGAGTCGCTTGTGGTATAGTTTGCCGCTATTATAAGCACTAAAATGACGATGACGTCACGATCACGGTGGTCAACCGATAAATGAAGGTAAACTTAGCCTCACAATTTCGTGTTACGTTTTGATTTCTATCGTATTCTATAGCGTATATCGTTTAGGTGATCGTGTCCGTCGATTAACTTAGTATCTGAAGTAGACTAGTACCGTATCGCCTGTGTCGCGATTTTTAAATGGCTTGGTTTACAACCACTGGCAAAAATAAAGTTAAAAACTTCAACAGAACAAAAACAACACGAAGTTTGTATGGGCAACAAAAAGGATGATATCCTTTCAGGAGTCATGGAAAAATCGTTTACATGGCTCAATAATGATACTGACACAAACTTAATGAAATGTGGGGTATCGTGCACTCAGAAGATGATTCCGAAATGTCCAGGAAGGATTGAATAGAGTTGCAACAAAATACGTAAAGACTACTGTTGGGGCAAATTTGTTTGACATTCTGACTGTATATTGAGATAAAGATCATATAAAAAAGGTATAATACTATAAAAAAGTATATTATTTTATCCTTATTTTTTCATATGATCTTTATCTCAATTTACAGTCAGAAACACCTTTGGATGGGAGCTATGTAAAAAAAAAAAAAAGGAGAAAATTGTTTCATGTTTCTGTGTCATTTACTAAAACTTGATCATAAATGGAAAAAATAAAAAAAATAAGGAGAAAAAACAAGTTTTTTACAGAAATTAAAAAACCTTCATTATTTGTTCAAAACCCTCAGATGCCAGGATTTTGCATCTAGCTTTTAAAAAATTTGGGGGAGGACCCCCATACCCTTATTCAGGAGGGGGGGTACCCCATCCCGAACCCACCACCCACTCCTCGCTACGCTCGTCGACCGGGGCGCAAAGCGCCCCAGATCTGAGAATATTATTCAGGTCTACCAGAAATTAACCAGGTCCACCAGATTTAGAGAGCAAGTGGACCTGCGGTCCACCACCTATTAAAAGTTAGTGTCAACCCCTGCCTATGGTATTCTGTATAGGATGTCAGAGGTTTCTATTTCAAAATATGTTACCACAGTCATTATAATGTATATTCCAACCTTACTTGGCTCTTTACATACGTAAATAAAGAATTCTCCCCCATGTGGAACCCCTGGAAAACCCACCAATCAGACGGCAGTATTCACGCACGTGATCAGACACGAAGCCATGCTTCCCACTTCATAATTCCTTCATCCTTCCGTGTTTACGGACGTGTTTTGGTTTCTTCTACGGTGTTCCAACTGCTACTGGCGTTGTTGTACCGATATATTGTATCCTTTCTACTATATTACTTTATTTTGTTTTAATTTAGCGTTTTGCCTTATTTTGCGCCGTTTTGCAACCAGGCTCCGGCCACATGTTCGCGTTTGACGGTTTGTTTACTTTGAGATGGAGACTCCACCTTCTCAAAGGCGCTGTCCTGGGGGTCATTTATTTGAGGCTTCCGACCCCCACCCTTACTATCCTAGCTGTCGGTCTTGCTCTCTGGAGCAGCCGTGTGACATTTGCCGTGCCTGGCAGCCGACTCCTGGCGGTGGTTCTCCCCGCCCGCAAGGGCGTGCAGGTAAGTCGGGTAGGAGGGGTAGGGGTGGGGCGAGGGCTAAGGCTAGGCCTAAGCCCTCGGAGAACACCAGCGGAATTTCGACCTCTGTTGAGTCTTCCCTGGGGTTCGTTTCGCCGGTTTCGGCCCGTACCGGTGCTGTTGTAAAACATTTTGTTTTATTGGACCCGGAACTTTCTCTCACCCCCCCTTCCGTTTTGTCGGTTGACGTGGGTGAGGGTTTGGGCTCTGTCCTGGTCACCACAGTGACTAGGGGACAGGGGGGCGGCCTTCTCTCCAAATTTGTGGTGGGAGGGCAGGTGGCCCAACATTCCCAGCCATGTTGTGTCCGCGGATGCTTCTGGTGGTAGCCTCCTCCCGGTCCGCTCCACTCCTGAGAGTGTTGGTGTAGGAGACCGGCCCCCGACAGTTTTGTCTGCTCCAGGGATTCCTTGCATCCCTGATGTGGCCTACGCAGACTGGTTTACTTCTGCGTTGCTGGCTGCGAGCTGCAAGTTGGTGGAGCAGCTCCCCAGCAAGGTTGGACTGATGGAGCACCTCAGCCAGGCAATTTGCAAGGCACATCTTGATGCGATGGCCTTACTGTCGGCTGCCATGTCACACCTTGTTGTTGCCCCCGGTTGTCGGTCCTTTCTGGACTGCCAGTCGGCGATTCATATCGGACTACCCTTTTGGAGGCTCCCTTGACTGGCGAGGATTTGTTTGGCGGGGTCCTTCCCTCAGTGCAATCTGAGATGAGGTTGGACCCGTTTGCATCTGGTGATCCACGCCACAATTCGACAGGCAAGGGCGCTAGCAGGAAGAGGCAGGCTTCTGGCTCCTTCAGGCGTAGGAGGAAGAGGGCAAAGACGGCTGCTTTTCAGCAGCAGGCTGCCCCTCCGGCTTCCGCTCCGGCAGAACATCGGAAATCTTCCTTCTGCGGTAGGGGTTCCCATAGTGGTCGAGGCAAAGCTTGCATCCCTGATGTGGCCCCTGGCGTGATGATAGCGTCTAGCACGCCGTCCACCACTGTGCAGCATTTGCTGCCCGGTCCGGTGGTAAGTGATGCCTCGGCCTCGCTAGCCTCGGCTGGATTTTAGGGTGGTGTGAGCACTGGTGTAAAAACCTATGCTCCCAGCTCTATCCTGTGTGCCTCCCCAGGTTTTCCTATGGTAGGTGCCAGCGCGGTTGTGTTTGCTTTTGCCGATGGGCGCTGATTCCCTGGTGGGGTTTGTTTAACTGGCCCTACAGGTTTTGGCCCTGCTGTGGGTCAGGTTGGGTGGAGTTGGTCAGGTCAGCCAGGTGCGGCTTATGGCGGCGGGTGTGTAGGTGGCCCTAGGTTCCCTACCCCGCCCCCCAAAAACCGGTCCTGCCTCCATTTTCGGGCATCAGTTGGTGGCTCTGTTCCAGGGTCCTCCCTGGTTTATTCCACCTATTTGCAGGGTTGGAATTAAGCTTATTATTTCAGCAGATCTCCTTCTTGCCTTTGTTTTTCGGCTGGCCATTCTTCAGTCTCAGTGACCACTGATCCCTCCTTTTTAGCTAAGAACCAGGTTCCCGGTCAACAGGCTCCTTCTTATGCTCTACCCCAACCATCGACCGACTATGGGCAGTCTTGGGGTTTCTTCCAGCAGGGGGCTTTTCCGGCGGGTGCCTCTCCTAGTGATGAGAGGGACGTTCTTCGGGGCTCTCCTGGTTGCTCCAATTTTACGGAGACTCGGGATGAGGATAGAGTCGGCGAGTTTTCTTGCTCTGATTTGGAGTCGTTGGATTCGTCTGGGTTGGACTCGGAAGGCCCTTTCGATGTTTCCCAATCCCGGCCCCGAGAAGCTGATCTGGTGCCTCCAGAGGTTTCGGCCACGCCCACGCCCTTCCTCGGATATGGCCGGCCCAGAGCGCACTTCGCTCCTTCAGAGCATGTTGCCTCCCCTAGCATCTGCCTCCTCGGCTTCTGCTAGGTCTCTTGCAGAGGGACGAGGCGTGGCTTCGTCCCTCGCTCAGGTCAACGCTTTATTAAAGCAGAAGGTGAGCAAGGCTCGCAAACCTTTTTCCCTCTCGGCTTTACAGGTCGTGGTTGATGATATCGCAGATTTAGCTGCAGGTACGTACCGCATCCACGACCCAGTCTTGGCCCCTAATTCCGTTTCCCTTGAGAGGGATCTGGATAAGTGGCCAGGACGCTGTGTTGACCAGGTTGTGATGGGGCCTAGGGAGCACTCTAAGTTGGAGCGTCTCCTTAGGCTGGCTCTCCATGTTCTGTCCTACGCAGACTGGTTTACTTCTGCGTTGCTGGCTGCGAGCTGCACGTTGGTGGAGCAGCTCCCCAGCAAGGTTGGACTGATGGAGCACCTCAGCCAGGCAATTTGCAAGGCACATCTTGATGCGATGGCCTTACTGTCGGCTGCCATGTCACACCTTGTTGTTGCCCCCCGGTTGTCGGTCCTTTCTGGACTGCCAGTCGGCGATTCCTATCGGACTACCCTTTTGGAGGCTCCCTTGACTGGCGAGGATTTGTTTGGCGGGGTCCTTCCCTCAGTGCAATCTGAGATGAGGTTGGACCCATTTGCATCTGGTGATCTACCCCACAATTCGACAGGCAAGGGCGCTAGCAGGAAGAGGCAGGCTTCTGGCTCCTCCAGGCGTAGGAGGAAGAGGGCAAAGACGGCTGCTTTTCAGCAGCAGGCTGCCCCTCCGGCTTCCGCTCCGGCAGAACATCGGAAATCTTCCTTCTGCGGTAGGGGTTCCCATAGTGGTCGAGGCAAAGCCAAATTTTCCAGAGGTAGAAAGGGTTCCTGACTCTTCCTTGCCCTTGCTAACTCCTTGTCCACTGTCTGTCGCCGCTCTCACGCCCTTGGGCGCGGGAGGCTTTGCCGATGTGGTTTGGGAAGGGCTAGATTGGCCCCTTCCAGACTTGCCAGTAGGCGGTCGGCTGTCCCATTTCGTTCCTCAGTGGAAAAAAATCACATCAGACAGTTGGGCCCTAGGGGTTGTGTCCAAGGGTCTCTGCATCCCGCTCCTTCGGGATCCACCTCTGGCGCGAGAGCCTATCTTTTTCCCTTCTCCTTCCGATCCGGGAAAGGTTGAGGCTCTTAGGTCGGAGGTTCAGGCCATGATCGCGAAGGGCGCGATCGAGGAACTTTCACCAGACTGGTGCTCTCCAGGGTTTTACTCCTGGGTCTTCC